AAAGATTAAGATTACGACAGAGGGGGAGGGGGAGAGGAAAGTCAGACTGACAACGACTGCGACACTGACTGGCGGCCTGTGACTGTGACATGGATTGCGAGCAGCACAGTAAGGGTAGTATCTCGTGTTGGTGGGATGGAGGGGAATGAGCCGCTCCCTCGAGCAGAAGCCAAAGGGGCTGATGGCTGGTCCGGGCCCAGGCAGAGCGTAGCAGCAGCTCTCTAATCCCACTCTTCACATAGCAGCAGAGGGTCAGCCTCCAGAAGGCAAATGATTCATAGTGAGCCTCTAAAAGGACTACCTAGGAGCAGAGCTGAAACTGCTTCCAGTTAGGGCCCTGTAGTGGGGCAGCAAGGTTCCCCTGGTCCCCGATACCAGGACCTGGAAAAGCTTCTCTAGTCCTCTTGCCCCAGAATCTTTCTATGAGTTAACAGGATAGTCAAGACAAGCCTTGTGGAACTTTCTATGCCCACGTTTTCCATGGGAGAGATCAAATCTTAAACATGGACTGAACCATGCATTTTAAATCTTAAAAATCTTTTTTTAAAAAATGTATTTTATTGATTTTACAGAGAGGAAGGGAGAAGAATAGAGAGTTAGAAACATTAATTGCAACCAAGGCACAGGCCCTTGAACGGAATTGAACCCTGGACCTTTCAGCCCACAGGCTGATGCTCTATCCACTGAGCCAAACCGGTGATGGCAATCGTAAAAATCTTTACATGGACCTTGACTTCGTGTTAACCTAACCAATGAAATCTTTCACTCATGAGAAATAGAGGTATCCCTTGAACAGTATTCGACAAATATCGACACACATAAGATTATGGAATCAGCGTTATCTTACACAGGCACGGGGCAAAAGTACCATTGCTTCCATCATGGCAAACCTCTCCTGATGAGAGCAGTATTAACAGAAACAAAATCCAGGAGTGGCTGTGAAAATATCTTCCAGAGGCATGGGATTTCAGTGTTTTTTAAATCTGCCCCAAGCCACAGACTAACTACATTATTAATAAGTCAATGGGACTTTCAGATCAGAGGAATATCAATACTGTCACCTGGCTACCTTTCCAGACTTGTAAGCAGTTCAAAAACTGCTTTGGATGATGCTTTCACCAATATCACTCAGGAGGCAAAAATAGTCCAGCAATTTGATTTTCTTCAACTCTATTTTAGTCTCAAAGGCAACCATTTCAATTTCATCAAGAGAAGGTTAAAGGGGATGATAGATTACCACTGAAAATAGTTTGCAAAGTGATCATGAGTTACATGTTTAAAGAAACTTAATAAAGAATCTATAGAGTGTGTTGGCTTAAAAAAGAAAAAGAGAAGATACCACAAGTTTAGTACATTCACCTTTCTGAATAGCCACCACTTGAAACTCAGCAACATCTGCATGATTTAACTCTTTCCTAGGCGGCCAGGCATGATAGGTGACTCACACCTGCATTTTTGAAGTTCACCTTTTGCCCATTGCAGAACCAAGTGCCATGATCCAAGGTCTCTGCCACCATTGTACTCACTGACTTTGTATTTCTAATACTCATAACTATAAACCTACATTTGCCTACTTCTGAACTCTGTCCATCAGTACAGTCCACTTTAGCGATCTTGACCTCTACCAAACTAGGGAATTCTTTTAAAAAATATATATATATTATTAATTTTAGAGAGGAAGGAAGAGGGAGAGAGAGAGAGAAAAGAAAAACATCAATGATGAGAGAGAATCATTGATTGGCTGCCTCCTGCATGACCCCTACCAGGGATCGAGCCTGCAACCCAGGCATGTGCCCTTGGTCGGAATAGAATCTGGGACCCTTCAGTCCGCAGGCCAATGCTCTATCCACTGAGCCAAACCAGCTAGGGCAGGGAATTCCTTTTTAGAGTTCTTTCAAAGTAGGAGTCAGATTCTTACAATGACCACACCATGGAACATAAAACTCGCTGAAAGTTATTCTTTCTGCAATGGTGCCATCTAAGTTATTTTCCGTGAGTGCAACACTATGCCCTTGTCGGCCTTGGGCTGGGCAGCCAGCACCCAGACCTCTGAGGGCTGGATGGTCTCTGGGGCACCCCCGTCTATACGCTGGAGTTTCAATTCCAGATACTCTTTCAGTGAGTCCAGATACTGCTTTCCCTCATACTGCTCAGTCATTTTAGTGCTGCAGCCACGCCTGGCTCATGGGCCCTGGTGCCCTGGTGCCTGCCACTGCCATGGCCAAACAGCAGCAGGGTAGCCGGGCCCAGTGGCCTGGGTAGCACTGGGAGAAGGTTCATGGGCATTTGGTGGGGCTGGCGCATTCTCACATGGCAGCGGGTCCCCTCAGTGGCACCCACTCACCACCGCGCAGAGCACACAAGTTTTTTTTTAATACAGAAAGAATTAGATTCTAGACTCCTGAAACTCAAATATGATGTTATAAAATTAGAGGTTCAATAACAATATTTATAATAAAAGAAACATACGTATTAGTATCCAATTCACCAAGAATGTTTACTAGTTCGGGCCTATAATTACTTTTCTGATTTGTTTCAAACAAATTAGAAAAAAATAAATTTATAGACATAACCTAAGATTTGTGAGTGGCAAGTACTACTGCTTGAAGCATTATCTTATACAGAGAGAAATATACACACCTCTAACAGGGAAGCTTAACTGCTGCAATGTTGCTGCACTTATGCAGTAACCAATCTGGGGTTCATAGGCGATGGTATCTAGACATTCATTCCAATCTTGTACATTAGTAACAGGACAATCCTGTAGATGGGTAACAAGGTCTCCCACAAAAAGACCTCTGGGTCCAACTGCAGGTGAGTCCTTGGGAAAAAGGCAAAAACAAATCAGAGAATGTGTGAAAACAAGCTATGACTAATCTGAGCAAATAATCGTTAAAGACACTGAATTGAGCCCTAACCGGTTTGGCTCAGTGGATAGAGCATCGGCCTGTGGACTGAAGAGTCCCAAGTTTGATTCCAGTCAAGGGCATGTACCTTGGTTGCGGGCACATCCCCAGTAGGGAGTGTGCAGGAGGCAGCTGATCGATGTTTCTCTTTCATTGATGTTTCTAACTCTCTGTCCCTCTCCCTTCCTCTCTGTAGAAAATCAATAAAATATATTAAAAAAATAAATAAAAAAAGACACTGAATTGAATACGTAGACTATTTTGAATAATATACAAAACAATCCAGCTTTGAATCCAAGATGGAAAATACTACAAAATTAAAACAAAACCCAACAATTATAGTTACTTTTCCTACTTCTACAAGATTTTGGATTTTTTGCAACTGAAAAAACAAAATCCCACTTGCCAACTGTTAGGATTAAACTAATAGTTTTTGAGTAAACCGCTAATTATTTTTTGGTGTGAAAGTAGTCATCAGAATGCCTTCATTTTCCTATGTTTTCCGTGGATAAAATTGTAAAAGTCCTTATTTAGACACAGTCCCAAATATGCAGATGATACTGTCAGCACAATGAATATGTGAGCCAGTTGCTCAGGAAGGCAATTTTTCCTCTTCCCTAAGTCTGAATAGAAGACTTGATGCTATCTCGGTAGTTATTAAATAAGGGAGTAAAATACAGAATTGAAGACCTAAGCTCCCATGAATTGTTCTGGCTAGCTAGCTAGCCTAGGTTTCAAATGTGAAGAGACCTTTTACTAAAAAGCAGAATTATAAAAATAAACAGTAAAAGTAAATGATGCATTTTATCAACAAGTTACAGGTAGAAAATCTTTATACTATTTTTGTAACTCAGAACAGAAACAACTTTTAGTATTTTTAAAAAGACAATGTATTCCACAAAACTGTTCAATTTGAAAGAATTGGCAATAATTTCTCCAGGAGAAACGGACCATTCTGTCTAGGAAGAAAACTTTTGTTTTAGAGAGAGAATGGAAGGGAGGGGGAGAGACAGAGAGAAAGAAACATGGGTGTTAGAGAGAAACAGCGACTGGTTGCCTCCTGCATAAGCCCGCACCAGGGCTGGGGATCAAGCCTGCAACCAAGGTGTGTGTCCTCGACCAGAATCGAACAGGGAACCCTTCAGTCCGCAGGCCGACGCTCTATCCACTGAGCCAAACCATCTAGGGCTATGAGGAGAACTTGATTAAAAAGCACCTGACATAAAATGCTAAGTGTTACATCACAAAATCTGGTAAAAAAAATGCCCAAGTAATCCATTATTTACCTCAGCAACTTCAGTGATAAGCACCCCCACTCCAGTGTAGTAAAAGGGCAAGAGGATCACAGGAAGGAGGACAAGAGCCAAAATACCCAGGAGTGCAAGGACGAAATTATGCCAGATACCTGAAAAGAGAAAAAAAGGAATAAGCTGAACCAGGGGCAGAAGTGACATAGGTATTTGGACTTCATAACACCTGGGCTTACAGAACCAGAAGAAGCTGTGAGGCACATAGATCTACTTATTAGTACAGTAGACGGATGTTCAGTTAGACATCTCTTCCATTTCATATATTAAAATGTAAAATAAGCATGTTAATACCACATTAAAAAGACCACATGCTAATATGATTTAACACCAATAAAACCTACATCCTATTATATATACCTAATATACATATGTATATAACACAAATAGAATCTCTTCTATTTATTATAGTCTCTTTTTTTCAGAAAATGTATGTGTTATTAATGTAAACGTACTTGTGATCTTTTTAAAAAATATGTTTTTATTGATTTCAGAGAGGGAGAGAGAGGCAGAGAGAGGGAGAGAAAGAAACATAAATGAGAAAGAACCACTGATCGGTTGCCTCCTGAATGCCCCACACTGGGGATTGAACCCACAACCCAGGCATGTGCCCTGACTGGGAATCGAGCTGTGACCTCCTGGTTCATAGGTCGACGCTCAACTATTGAGCCATGCTGGTGTGGGCTCATACTTGTGGTCTTTGAAAGGAATGTTAAAACTACCCACATAAAAGCTAAGATGGAATCAACATTCTTGCTGAACTGGGGTATGGAAATCCAAATGGTATTTGGAAAAAGAGATTGTTTTAAGAATAAAACTATTATAGAGAATATTACTGGTGGGTCAAATAGAGGATGTACCTACCATCATGTCACAGACTATAACCACCTCCATCATATATACAGAAATGGTTAGATGAACTCAGTGGAGTGCTGGAGTCTGTTTCTACCAGCTTGCCACAGACAACTATGCGCATCCCTTCCCAATTAGGAACTTCAGGTTGGCACCTTGAACTGGCCACGGTGGGACCACATATTTACGAGTCAGAAACCAGCAGAAGCTAAATATCAGAGCTCCCCACTCTCCCCTTCAGAGCCAGGTGCTAAACATACACTGGCACGCGGCTATATAACCCCTCCCTCCAAACTTATCCTTCACTTCTGCTAGTTTTTGTCATAGGCCGGGTCGGGGTACTCCTAGCACTCTGAGTAGCATGATTCCTAGTTGTGCAAGTCTGCCCTTAACATCACAGGATATTTAGCATGCCTGGCTCCATCCATTAAACACCGTTACTGCTCCTCTGTCAGACAACCAATGAATACCTCCCACCCCACACATTCCAAACATTCTCAGGAGGGTGATAGCATCAGCAGTAGAGAACCAATATTCTGTAATGATAGAAATGCAACCTAAAGACATTTCCCAGACTCTCAGGAAGCTGAGTATGGTTATATGACTGTTGTGCCCAAGAGGATGTGAGTAGAAATGATGGGAATATCCCTGTCCTACTGGCTGGAATGTATCCATAGGAGGGAGCTAAACCTGAGTCCATAACATAGAAGCTGCATGTTGGGAACGGCAGAGCTAAGACAGAAAAGGCCCAAATCCCTCAAATCACAAAATTATATCAGCTTTGATTTACTTACATTTAGAATGTTTTATGAGAGTTTAAGCCTGTTACTTTTAGCTATTACAGCAGCCAGATACCTAGCTAATACATGTTCCATATACCTTGTTCACACTGTAAGATGTCCCCTCTTTTTTGAGTGTTATAAGCTAACAAGACAGAAAAGGCCTGAGTTGCCCAAATCATAGAATTATATCAGCGCTGAGCTACTTACATTTTATGAATGTTTTATGAGAGTTTAAGCCTGCTATTTTTGGTTATTACAGCAGCCAGATATTTAGCTAACATGTTCCACACACCATATTCACATTGTAAGATGGACCCCCTCCCCCCCACCCCTGTATGAGTGCTTTAAGTTGTTACATTCTAAAAATATCCAGAGCAAGTCTAGTCCAGGACACATGAGTAAAAAATATTTTCTGTTCTATACACGGTTCTTTTAAAAACACCAAAGGTATCAAATTACCTTTGCTTTTTCATGTATCAATTTTGGACTTTTCCCTTATCTGCACATTCATACCTATCCCATTTCTCTTTTTTTTAAAATATATTTTTATTGATTCTTTACAGAGAGGAAGGGAGAGAGATAGAGAGTCAGAAACATCGATGAGAAAGAAACATCGACCAGCTGCCTCCTGCACACTCCCCACTGGGGATGTGCCCGCAACCAAGGTACATGCCCTTGACCGGAATCGAACCTGGGACCCTTCAGTCCACAGGCCGACGCTCTATCCACTAAGCCAAACAGGTCTCGGCCCTATCCCATTTCTTATATCCACTACAGAGTAACCCATTTTTTTTTAACATATTGACTTACAAGGTTCCCTACTAACTTGTTCATACAATGCTTCAACAGCTTTGCTCATATTGTTATGTACCTAATTAAATACGCATCTGTGAGGGTATGAAAAATTACACAGATATGAAATTGTCGGGTCAAAAATATGTGCATTAAAATTGACCTTCAGTGAGTTTGTATTAATTTATGTTCTCATAACTGGCATGTTTTCCCACATTCGAAACAACACCAGATGCTATTGTAATTTTAGACTTTGCCATCTGCTAGGTGAAAAGTAAAATATTTGTTCTAATTTCTATTTTTTTTTTAAATCATCACTGGAGGGCTGACTAAAAATCAACTTCCTATTGATTTTTAGAGAGAATGGAAGAGAGAGGGAAAAACAGAGAAATATCGATGTGAGAGAAACATATCAATTGGTTGCCTCCTGCTGGGCCGGGGAGGAGCCTGCAATGGAGATATGTGCCCTTGATCATATTTGAACCTGGGACCCTTCACCACTCAAGGGGCCAAAGAGCTGCATGTGGCTCTCGAGCCGCAGTTTGCCAACCACTGCACTAAGTCAAACCGCCTAGAGCTAGTTTCTAGTTCTTTAATTATGAGCGACTTAGAAGAGCATTTTCATGTTTGTTAAAAGGCTATTTCTATTTCCTTTGTCTGAGAACCATATCCATTCCCTATTTACATTTTTTGACTTGGTTGCTTTTTGTTTTGCTAATATGTATATATTATTATTTGCAATGTACATATTAAGGAATTTGGTCTTTTGTAAGAGGCATTTAAATTTTTTCATCCAGCCGAAACCCGGTTTGGCTCAGTGGATAGAGCGTCGGCCTGTGGACTAAAAGGTCCCAGGTTCGATTCCGGTCAAGGGCATGTACCTGGGTTGCGGGCACATCCCCAGTAGATGTGCAGGAGGCAGCTGATCGATGTCTCTCTCTCATCGATGTTTCTAACTCTCTATCTCTCTCCCTTCCTCTCTGTGAAAAATCAATAAAATATATTTAAAAAAAATTTTTTTTCATCCAGGGTATTGTTTGGTTTGGTTTATAGGCTGCCTATGCAGACATTTTACTTTTTCAAATATGTATTTTTATTGACTTCAGAGAGGAAGTGAGAGGGAGAGACAGAAACATCAATGTTGAGAGAGAATCATCGATCGGCTGCCTCCTACACACCCCCACTGGAGATTGAGCCCCCACAACCCGGCATGCGCTCCTGACCGGAATTGAACCGGGGACCCCCTCCCTCCACCCGAGTCCACAGGTCCCTGCTTCATCCACTGAGCCAAACCAGCTAAGACTGCAGACATTTTAAATGTTGGTGTGGTCAAACTGCTCCTTTATACTAAGCCTTTCCCAGTTCAATATTATAGAAGACTAGGGGCCCGGTGCACGAAATTCGTGCACTGGGTGTGTGTGTG